AACTATGCTATAAAATTCATTAGGAAGATCAGAAAAGGCCAAAAGCAAAATAAAAATAATGGTGAAACTAATAATAATATTAATAAGAAAGAATGTAAGGCATCTACACTTTTACCATATAAGGAGGGGACATCTGAGACCCTCCCTACGTAGGATTCATAATAAAGCAGGAATTAGGGTGGCATCTAAACCTACGAAATCACTCAGGTAGGACAAGATCTGTAGGTTAAAGGACCCTGTAAGTTGACCCAATTAGACAAAATAATATTATTTACAAAATACCCTGCAATGACTGTGAGGTCAACTACATAGGTCAGACTAGTAGATCAGGGGTAGTCAGACCCCGAGAAGATGAGTAATTTAGAAAAAAGCTCAACAATTTCACTACATGCATTAATGCAAAACGATACAATAGGGTTGGAGAGGGTTAAGATTCTAAGAAGTAATCTATGTAGGTGGAGTCTACACGCAACACATGCAACAGAAATGACTCAATGCAAATACCAGAAATATGGAAGATATTATTACCGCTAGTCAAATCAGAAGACGATAATAAATAATCTTAAAATTCTATTTCAATTCACGTACTTATTTTGACTATAAAAACACTCGTCTTATTTCCCGTCTGATTGTATTTGATGAATAACACTCATATTATTATTTCTGAATGTACAGTATCTTACACTGATTTCATTCAAATGTCTAATCATCAATTTTTACTCAAGTATATAAATGAAGTAAAAAGTTGTGTGAGTAGTGACTTGATATGATTATGAGCAATAGTTTGTGCTCGAAACGTGGTCATCAGTTAATATTACTGTATAACATCACTGTGTGATTTATCAAAATAAAATCTTATCCGAAAACGTGTATACAGTTCAGTGACAGAACATCTGGTCAACTCAGGACATTCAGCGCCTTTCGAAAAATCCTTCAAAGTTATATACAAAATTCAATCAAACCTATCAAAGGGAATCAAATCAAGACATCTGGGCATAGCTGAGGCGCTAGCTATCCAAAAGCTCAAACCCACACTTTGTATCCAAAAGAATTACGTCCAACCCCTCTCCCTCCCTACCATGGCCATCTTAAACAGGTAAAATGTTTTAGTAATGACAATCTCATCGCCTTTCTTATCTAAACTTCCTGTTTATTCATGTTATTTTAAGTTTTCTTAAACCCTGTTTACACTACCATATTTTCATACCCACTCTTCCTGTTTATTTTGTCATTTTACTATTTCTACATATTTAATCCCTGATTGCATAAACAATTATTCATCACACTAGTTTCTTATCCAAACATCCTGTATATTTTGTTATTTCTACATTTCTAACCCCCAATTGCACAATGTCAATCTTCTTAGTTATTATAATGCTACTTTGTTTGAGTTTTACCCACCCCCCTGTTTGTTATGTCATTTTAATTCCTAATTGTAATTTTTTATTAATTTGACCCCTAACCAGAAATTATTCTGGAACTTTCCTATCCATTTCATGATATAAATACACGAATGTACAGCCTAGATGATGACTTCGTCGAAAAGAAAATTTTCTTCGCTGCAATTGTCTTTTTATAAAATCTTATCCATAATGGGTGGTACGCATAGGTAGGTGGTTCGCGTTTCACTCTTGGCTGAGTGAGTCACTGCTAAACCTCGCCTGGTATACTAGCCCGAAAAATAACCGAGTTAGGGTATGAGGCTGGAACTAAGGCTTCCTGAAAGATGATATCACATCAAATTACTTATGGCCTCAGGTATACTCTGTAATAACTTTATGACGTCAGTCGGTAGTCGGAATTATACTGTACATCAATCATCTGAGGAATATTTCACTGTCTGCATCTCCCTCCACCTTTAAAAAGTGACCTTAGAGAAACCATTTTCTAAAATGAAAATGCCAAGTAACGCCACACCCTTGATAGATAATCCTAGCTGAAGTTAGATTATTTTGTGTAGGTCTTAAGTGTAGTTAGACCAAAACATGAAATGACCACCAGTCTATGCAGTCGACAACTGATGATCTAAGTCATGTTGGTAGTCGTAGGTGAACTGATTGAGTGATTGATCTTAGAATGTTAAGAAACATTTGTGATCGAAGATTCTTGATGAAATGGCTTAGAATGGAGTAGATATATCCACTCCCTGAGAATTAAAACGAACTCATCACTAGGGTTCGTTAAGTTAATCCCTCTCCGTTCTCCTAATCTCTCTCTCACCACAAATCATCCACACACACACACACAGAAACATATTGAAATCCTAAAAGGAGTGATATTAAGATGTACCATGAATGTAAACTTCAAATTTGACGCCACGCTTTACAGGCAAGTGCACGGGGTGGCTAGGGCCTCCCCATTGGGTCCCATTCTTGCTGATTTCTTCCTAAGTAAGCTAGAAAATGGACCTCTGAACAACCTTATCAGTAAGCTCTCATTTTATTGCCGATATATGGATGATGCCTTTATTCTTTGTGATAATGGTTCTGATAGGAGTACAATAATTACTGAATTCAATGAAGTACATTCGGCTATGAAATTCACATGCGAAGAGGAATCCCAAGACAGAATTGCCTTCCTGGATGTCTTCCTTACAAGAAAACCAGATGGTAGCATAAAGAGAAATTTGTATATGAAAAGTACATGGACAGGATAATATACACATTTTCACAGCTTCGTTCTTATCAAGTACAAAAGAAATTTAGTGAAGACCCTCAGTTATAGAGTTAGAGCTATATGCTAAGAAGAAGTAATTGAAGATGAATTAAGCATTGTATATGATACTTTGGTCGAAAATGGTTATCCTGACAAATTTATCAAGAAACACATGACAAAGAAAGCGGGAAAGGACTACTCACTATTTGTAAACAAGAAGCCACTTTGTATACGACTACAATTCAAGGGCGATATACCAAGTGAGATAATTACGAGGAAATTAAGAAAATCGGTTCAAAGAACTTTTAATGCTGGCGAATTATATGAATTATTCTCTACACGACCGATGGTGCTACCTTGACTGAAAGATGAAGTACCTAGACTAGCCACTTCAAATTGTATCTACCAATTCAACTGCGCTGATGGTGGAGCGAGTTATGTTGGCCGTTGCTCTAGGAACTTGATTCTTCGTGCTCGAGAACATCTCCCGCTATGGCTAAGCAAAGGTGCGATGAAATCCATTAACAGTTCGATATTGGACCACCTGGTGCAAACCGGTCACTAGGCGAAAGAACTTGAACAATCACGTTTTTTTTCGAGATCCTTTGTTGGTCGTGGTGGTGTCGCGGAAGCAGCAGTAGTATTTCAAGAAATTCAACAGTAAACAACGGGTTGTGCTGACATCTTATGTTACCCATTAACCGACATTTTCAATGAATCTTTTTCCAAAAGTATTAACTCTGACTCATAGAAAAATACTAAGGTTGTTCCAGTGCCTGAATCAACAAGTGGACCTACTGTCAAGTTTCGACCGATTGCTATTAACTCACCTTTTCTAAAAGTTATGGAAAGACTTGCTTTACTTAATCTTGAACCCTCTGTAAAGCCTTTCAATGACCCCAAACAGTTTGCTTATAAACAGAGTAGATAGGTGCACCTTAGATGCCGCTGTTGTTCTATATCATAATATAGTCTCTAGTTTAGGTAGAGGAACTAAATACGTTAGGTGTGTGTGTGTGCCTTCCTTGATTACACATCTGCATTTGACTCGGTACCTAGGTCTCTCTTGCTAAGTAAGCTCGCTGCAACACAGAGTGAGAGCTGAACAAATAAGTGGTTGCATTCCTATTTTGCTGATAGGAAGCAGTACACCGTCTACAAGGGAAAGTCCTCCACTACCTACCTCACTTACTTTAGCCGGTGTTCCTCAAGGTGTTGTTCTTTCTCCTTTTCTGTTTTCTTTTTTCTTACATGACTTGCTCCATTCTGATGTAGCCACTTTTGTCAAGTATGCTGATGACCTCTCTGTCTCCATTCCTGTCAACTCTCAGTCAAACTGTTCCAAATTAAATTACTTTCTGTCGGAAATTAGTCAGTGGTCCTCTTCAAACGGTCTTAGGCTAAATCCGTCTAAATGTCAGGGAGTCAATTTCACTTTCAGACGAAAATGTGACCTACAACAACTAGCCAGCTCACATGGCCCCACTATCATTGATGGCATAGAGGTTGAAATTACATTTAATGTCAAGTACCTTGGACTGAGTATTTCCTCCGATCTTTCCTGGTCCTGTCACATCTTGCTAGTTACTAGAAAGATGTTTCGCTTAACGTCCTACGTTAGGAAGTTTAGGAAGTCTGGTATAAAGCAGTCTTTGCTTTCTCAGTTTGTCAATTCTTGTATTCTACCCATCCCTCTTTACTGCTCCCCATTAATCTTTCCTGGACTACTGAAGAAAGACTTCGCTTTGCTGAGAAGGGCACTAAAAGCTGCTAGTAGGACAAGTGGGATATCGTTAAACCAACTGGTTAACACCATTGTGGATAGACATATAATGTAATGTAAGAAACTAGCGAATGCTATATTGTCAGAAACTGAGAATCCTCCCTATACGCAGCTCTCTCCTTGCATTTCATCTGGTAGAACTAGAAGCAGCTACAGGAGGCTATATGCTAGGACTACCAAGTACAAAAACTCCACAATACCTTATCTGGCACAGTTGTTATGTGATGAGAAATTCGTTAGGGGTGTGACACGATCGACTCACTGCGGCACTCTAACAAATAGTTCCCAATAGTTTTTGTTTTCCTTTCTGTGTTACTATTATATTGTTGTTCACATCTTCTGTTACACACTAATTTTATATTTCATATTCCTGTGGTGCATTGTTTAAATATGTGAATGCAATGCTGTTCTTTTTTATTTCTTTCATTTATCTTCTTGTTTTGTTGCTTTTTGTTTTTAAAATCTTATAAAATTTATGAGGTTATTAGATGCAATATTGTAATGCACGCTGAAAGTTCCATACCTGTACCACAAATACTGTTTGGAATAAAGCTATTATTAATACTATTATTATTTATATTAAACAACATTTATGTTAGACACACAATCATCAAGGAAATATTTACAGTTAGTCAATAACATTTCACTGTACACATGTTGAAGAGAATTAGAAGGACGACGTCAAAAGTGCATAGAACTTCAATCAGAGATGACAACCATTTTCATCTTGACGAAGAAGAAATTCTCCCTAGAATGTGGTTTATATCAAGTAGTACTTTGTTCAGTTCTTCAAAGGAAATTCGACATTTTGAAACCTATATAGAAAGAGGAAAGGAATAAAAGAAATAATTTTCCAGCTATACATGCATGCATGCATGCATAACAGGAGGAGGAACATACACACACACACACACAAATGAATTGACTGGAAACTCAATTGTGTTTCTATCGCTGGTTAACAGTCACCGTTTTTGGAATATTAAAGAATATAAGCCTGAATAAACAGTCCCTTTCCGGAATTCGTTAGAGGACAACACACGCGAGTGCGTAGACGGCGTGAGTGACACATCCAGTATAAATCACGAAGTTTACAGGATTACAAGAAAACCACGACTGTCTGCACGACCGTGCACGAAACTGTGACACTTCAGCCGCCTACACTCTCGTATAACACACAAAGGCAGACAAGACAAAACACCAAATACAACGATATTAAAAAAATCCCCATTTAGACATTTATAAAATAGAAAAATTGAGGGAAGAAATATTTACTTTTCAATTAGATCCTCATCTCATTATGGCTCTACTCTAACATACACACACGTACAGCATTTTTATTACAATACACAACAATTTACCAATCAAGTGGCACTGATATGTTTGTTAACAATAATTAAACAGTGTCAAAATGTCAGTGGGGTGATAATAAACGAAGAAAATCAATACACACAATTAAAAGGTAGAAGTGGTTAGAATAAATTAATTTTACAAGGATAACACGTAATTAAAGATGAAGTGGTCAGAAAAAATTAGCTAGGATTGGACCTAATGGGGAGCCCATCGCTACACCATCAATTTGTCTGTAATATTCCTTATTGAATTAGAAATGAACATTCATTGTACATCTTAAAATAACTCCCTTCAAGGTGAATACAGAAATGCCCATGTCTATGTTTCGTGTAGTAATCTCCTCACATATAAAATCCACTGTCTCCACTGATGTTTTCCTCGCTAAGTTAGAGAATGGACCACTGAAAGGAGTAATTAATGAAATGGATTTCTACTGTCGATATATGGATGATACATTTGTGGTTATGAAAGATGAGAATGATGTAAACAACATTCTTGACAAGTTTAATGATGCACATTCAGCAATAAACTTTACCATGGAGAAAGAAAGTAATCACAGGATCCCATTCCTAGACGTCTTCATAGCAAGGAAAGAAGATGGCACACTAAGAAGGAGTGTGTGTGTGTGTATAGGAAACCTGCAACAACAGGTCAGTACACTCATTTTTTGAGTTTTGTACCTTTGAAATATAAACGCGTAACCTGGTAAAGTGTCTGGTTCATAGAGCTAACTTAATCTGTTCAGACGACTGCCTCCTCAATGAAGAGCTTAAGATTATTAGAGAATTACTTAGAAAAAATAGTTATCCAGATAAATTCATTGAGAAAAATATGAATTCAGCACCTAGGAGAGTCAGTATAGCAACAGTTCTGAAAAAACCAATGTTCATAAAATTCCAGTTCCTCGGAGATAACATCAGCGAAATCATAACACAGCGAAAACCTGAAGAATGCAGTTAAAAGAGCTTACTATGCAGCAGAGGTACGTTGTCTCTTCACAACCACCCCTATTCTATGTTCGAGAAATAAGGATAAACTACCTAAATTTGCCTCTTCTATGTGTGTCTACCAGTCTGACTGCAGCTGCGGAGTCAGCTACATTGGGTGTACAATTAGGCAGGTTCATCATCGTATTTCTGAACATCATCCAGCATGGTTAAGCAAGGGACAAACAAGATCTATTCGTAGCTCTATTTTAGCACACCGTGTTGATACTGAGCATAAGGTTGATGTTAATACTGCATTTAAAATTATTTTTCGCATTCCGAATAATCTTAATTTTGCTCTACGAGTTCGTCTTCTACATACGACAGCTGAAGCAATAGGAATCCACCTGAAGAAGCCAAACCTATGTGTTCAGAAGAAATATGTACAGCTACTTCCCTTGCCTTGACCATCGTTACATGAATGTGTAAACCGGACTACTTCACCCCCTCCCCCTAAACCTTTAAAATTATAATTGTCTGAATAATTTTTCCTGACCACTTCATCTTTAATTACGTGTTATCCTTGTAAAATTAATTTATTCTAACCATTTCTACCTTTTAATTGTATGTATTAATTTTCTTCGTTAATTATCACCCCACTGACATGTTGACACTGACTAATTATTGTTAACAAACATATCAGTGCCACTTGATTGGTAAATTGTTGTGTATTGTAATAAAAATGCTGTACGTGTGTGTATGTTAGAGTAGAGCCATAGTGAGATGAGGATCTAATTGAAAAGTAAATATTTCTTCCCTCAATCTTTCTGTTTTCTAAATACAATGATCACAAATGTGAGGGAACATCAACAGGAACCCAAACAACAAGTGATGTGTTCAACGTGCTCATCCATTCCACCCGGCGTTATCCTTCATATTAGGCGTCAATGTTGACCACAAGGATATTCATGTTAAAACCGGTGAATACAAACTTGTTATCACATATGATGATGCCCTATGCTTTCACACAAATCACCACTTTCATGACTGACTGACTGACTGACTGACTGTAAACAAATTTCTACACACACACACACACACACACTGACAAGTAAAAAGCATCCATAAACATTCCTCTTACCAGAGGAATGCGTTTAGGGAAGCTAATACACCCGTAAATACTCACCATTTGTAAAGGACCGCAACAATATTAAATCCAACAACAATCTAATCGGTGGGTGTCTGTCTTATTCTTCAGGGGAAACATTATAATGACAATTAGTTAGTAGAGTTATTCCTCTAATGTTAAGTTAGATCACGACATGACTGAGGTCACTCAGTCATGAAAACATTAGCTGTCTTTGATCATAGGTGCCTGCGTTCTATCTCCCGTGTGCAGTGGTATAATAAGGTGAGCAATATTGAGGTGAAGCATCGGTCGAGTGCTAGGTAAAGAGAGGAAATCAATAGACGAGGCTGTGAAGTTACATAGATTGAGATGGTTAGGACATGTGTTACGTATGCCTAGTCATCGCCTTCCTCGACAATGGGCAATGTTGGCTGACATAGGGTCAGACTGGAAAAGAGCTAGCGGCAGTCAAACCAAAACATGGCTTCATCAGTCAATGAAATCCACAACAGTTAGTTTAAGCCAATCACGTAGGAAGATGTAGACTTCCTGGTTGGAGTCCTCGGGACGGTAAAAACCAATGGAGGCTGGAAACAATTGGCGACATGGCTCAAAATCGTTCTCAATGACTGGTGCAGATGCATCAACTCCTTGTGACTTACAATTCCCAATAAAACTATATCGTTCTTCGTTATTAATATTCTCTTTGCCTTACATCTCTGTTCACTGTCTCTGTTTTGCATTTCTTCTCTTCGTTTGTGTGCTACAAGGAGGGAGTGTGGCGACTTGAACTGCTGCACATCAGTGCAAAGTTCTATGTCGAAAACAGACAGACAGACACTCACTGAAAACTAGTACGAAACTGATGTTGTTCATTCATCACTTTCCCGGTGTTTTTCAATATATTCTCTAACTCAAATCTGTTTCATAAAATGGAACTCGGAATCAACCCAACCACCCACCCCCGCCGAAAACTAACACATTTTAAAGTTATGCTTACCTCTTCAAGTGCCTCCTCTTCTATGTTTATCTGTCTCATCGTGCATGAATTGCCTCGAGTGATACCAGACAATTGTTTCTGCAATGTTTCTTCTTCAGCTACAAACTGGTCAATCTTTTTTGACCTATCTGCATCATCAGTTTCACGTGCCTAGCAAGCAGACGGGAGGGCAGACGGAGGGGAACAAATCATTAAACAATCTTGGTAAATCATACAGAAAAGGATAGTAAAATGTATACATTTAATGACAATGTGCACAACGGTTATGACTCTCGCCGACCATGCACATGGTCCGGGGTTCAATCGCCTGCCGACGCACACTTGATATCTATGGTTGCCCTGCATACTTGGGCTACCAATATCACATACTGAAAATTCCATACTTGTACTGAAAATACGGTGTGACATCAAGCTATAATCAAAAAAGAAAAGGTTCTTTGTCGACAGAAAAAAGAGGTCACACCTGAACAACACATATTAATGTACTGTTCCATAAAGCAAGAAACATTGTCTTATCTCAATCCCACTAAAGTGTAAGCTTTGTATAACTGCGAAAGACAGCCAGGAGAAACTAGATAGACCACTCATTAGTTCAATGGCAGGAGGCTTGATAGCCACAACCAGACAAGAGCAGGTTACCACAAGTGCCGTCTTAAACCTCGCGCATGCCTAACCATCGCCTCCCCCAAAGGGCATTACTAGCTGATATAGGTGCAGGTTGGAAACGAGTAAGTGGTGGCCAAACAAAAACATGGCCTCATCAATCCATGAAATCCTTGACAGTTAAACTGAGTCACGTAGAGGGAGATGCAGACTTCCGGGTTGAGGCCCGCCCTCGGGACTCTATGAATCAATGGCTGGAGACAATAGGTGACATGGCCCAAAATCGTTGTCAATGGCTTACGCAGATGTATTCAGTCTCTGTAATCTTTCATATTTCTTTCCACCATTACTCATTCTGTTTCACTCTTATACTTCTCAAAACTCTATTGATTCTCTTCACTCATCATCTTCTTGTCTACCTTTGTGTGCTATTTGGAACGTGGCAACTCGAACTGCTGCACTTCGGTGTCAAGTTCTATGTTGAATCCAAACAGACAGATCTTAAACGTCGCCTAGTTTAGTAGTCGGCGGTAAATAATAATAATGGCTTTATTCCAAACAGTATTTGTGGTACAGGTATGGAATTTTCAGCGTTCATTACAATATTGCATCTAATCACCTCATAAATTTTATAAGAATTTAAAAATAAAAGCAACAACAATAAAAGAAAAAAAAGAGAAATAGAAGAAATATAAAAGAACAGTATTGCGTTCACATATTTAAACAATACAGTACAGGATATGATATATAAAATCAGTCTGTAATAGAATATATGAGAAACAATATAATAGTAACAAAGAAAGGAGAACAAAAGCTAATGGGAACTATTTGTTAGAGTGCCGCAGTAAGTCGATCGTGTCATGCCTAACAGTTTTCTCATCACATAACAGCTGTGCCAGATAGGGTATTGTGGAGTTTTTATACTTGGTAGTCCTGGCATATAGCTTCCTATAGTTACTTCTAGTTCTACCAGATGAAATGCAAGGAGAGAGCTGTGTACAGAGAGGATGCTCAGTTTCTGACAATATAGCATTCGCTAGTTTCTTACATGACATTATATGTCTATCCACTATGGAGTTAGCCAGTTGGTTTAACGATATCCCACTTGTCCTACTAACAGCTTTTAGTGCCCTACGCAGCGAAGCAAAGTCTTTCTTAAGTAGTCCTGGAAAGATTATTGGGGAGCAGTAAAGAGGGATGGTTAGAATACAAGAATTGACAAACTGAGAAAGCAAAGACTGCTTTATACCAGACTGCCTAAACTTCCGAACGTAGGACGTTAAGCGAAACATCTTTCTAGTAACTAGCAAGATGTGACAGGACCAGGAAAGATCGGAGGAAATACTCAGTCCAAGGTACTTGACATTAAATGTAATTTCAACCTCTATGCCATCAATGATAGTGGGGCCATGTGAGCTAGCTAGTTGTTGTAGGTCACTTTTTCGTCTGAAAGAGAAATCAGGAAAGTAGACAGGATCTAGTGTCACAGCCTACTAGTAACCATCTCATCCCGTAGACAAACAACATCAACTATCTTGAAACTCTTTAGTTCCGTTCTACTTCGAACGCAAGGAATAACGAAAGCAAATAGTTCTCAAGTGATGAACTATTTATTTTTTCCTCATCAAATACCAATGATGATACATTTTAATCCACTTTGAAGCAATCTTCAAACTCACCTCTAATTTCTAGTATGACTGTTTCATGCGTAGTGCTATAGTATACTACTTCATATGATATAATCAGGTGTGTAGGTGTTTACTCCTGTGGATATATTCATGCAAGGAATTTTCAAACCATAAACGGACTAGCTATATATCCGCTTATTAGTACATGGTTACAACATATCGACTCTCACAAAGATAATGAATAATAATGATAGCACTAGGATAACGGATTACACAGCAATCCTTATCCAATAAAAGAGTATCTTTATGAGAGAGTGTAAGACGTCACATCCATTGATGACATTCTACTTCAAGGCAGGTAAGATGGTGTTTGAAGATGACAAAAGTCATTATCAAATGCCGAAATCTATCAACACCAGTGAAGCAACCACAATCAGTAGTGGAATGGTCAAAGCGCTGGACTCGTCACCTGAAGGCCCTGGGTAGCATAGAAACCTAGAAGCATGCATTGTGCATGCGCGCACTACTACTCAACTGTCCATCCAGTCTTCCCTGCTTTTCAAACACCCCTTGACAATTTAATCGCGCGGAAGGGTCGATTACATTAGCTCAACGCAAAGAGAGACAGAGAGAGAGACAGGCAGATAGACAGACAGACAAAGTCAAATAACAATGTGGAGACGTGGCAGCTCATTGCTTTCACTACATGACTTCCACTCACAGAAGGCTTTCACACTTCGAATCCTACTCCACCACCTACTTTGGTGCAACCTAACCTGACCAACTAACTCGGTAGTAGTATCATCAGCTCTCTGTCTCTCTCTCTCTCACAGAACAAGTGTGGCGGGCGGCACACAGTCACATGGAATATGAAAAACTCCTTCTGGGAACTCAATTCAAACAACGAGTAACTGTAAAAGACAGTTGTTGCTGTTCTTAATCCCCGTCTTATTATTATCATCGTCAAACTAAACTCTAATCGGTGGAGTATAACACAAAAGCTGACAACACACGCTGGGGGAGAGCATTTTACAAATATATATATATATATATATATATAAATGTGTGTGTGTGTGTGATTTACCTTCTTCCTGTTATTCAATAACAACTTCCTTCTCACCACCTGTGAATGATGTTCAGCTAACTGTGCCTGTACTTCTTCCACTGTTGCCTGCATTTTCTTATTATCTTTCACTAGTAAATCCACTACTCCTTGATATTCCTGAAACACAAATCAATAATTTAAAATAAAAATCAATAAATAACTATGAAAAACCACAGATAAATGCATAAGACAAATATATGCAACAAACAAGGTGTTAACCACTCACAACAACATTTCAAATTCAAAGCAATTCAATCGATCACAAATTGGCTGACTTCGATTAGACGACAGCCAGTGAAAACCAACGCGGAGGACTTGACACAGCTGATTCATTATTGTCTGGGACTTTTTCTCTCTCTCTCCCTCTGAGTAGTACACACTCATCACATAAAATATAACAAATCACAAAGCCACGCGACTACCTACAAGTTAACAAGGCCAGTAAGTGTACTATTCAGTCCAAGGAAGGGGAGGAATTCAATAACTTACTTGTGGACTCTCTGACGACTTTTGTCAATTCACGATACACCGCCATCACAAGGTAATGTCAACAACGATTATCATTCAGTCAGTCAGTCAGTCAGTCCTCACACCCAACTACTTCGTGCATCTTCCTGCGCTCATCACTCTAACCAAATAGAAGAACCACAGGCAACTTCATCCTCCACTCATGCTCAGCATTCATCACCAAATGACTTCAATTAGCAATCAATCAATCAATTCCCTGAAAACCAACATTTCACAATCCCATTAACCTTTTCTTGCTTATAACTGTTATAACTGGGATGCAAGCGCCCACTAAACCACTAATTCCCCCCCCCCCTAGTCTGAATCAGCGCTATTTGTTATGTTGGTGTTGTGTTTCTTTTCAAATCACATACTTTTACAGTAACGCCAAGGATGATTCCCAGAGGACCGCACACAATTCCTGTTATACGACCATTGTGGACTGTCAGTTGGCATCGTTCACGGTAACAACTACAATGGTATCATCTTATCATCTTGGAAACTCTGAATTCCGCTGTAGTCTGCCTGCAAATCAACCAAACCAGATTTTCTCTGCTCCTGACGACAACCCGTCGAAAGCATCAGGAAGCATGACTATAGAATTGGGAACAAGACAAGCCCACTGATCTCCATCATCATCATCATCATCACCCACCAACCCACACGCTTACACAGGCACAACTGAAAGCCTGTACACAGACACTGCATCAAGTCGAACACTACTACTCATGATCGTCGGCGAAACCGTTAACAAGCGCACCAGCATGCGACCCCACCAACCAGCTCCAGCTAAACGCCTTCTAACTGCACCAACTCTTCAATGTACGCATTCGCAGCTCCAATGTCCGAAGAATAGCAAACTACAGACTTGTTCAAGTACAAATCACACCGTCACCAACACACACACACACACACACCTAGAGATGGATGACAAGCGCTTAAACAAGGTGGTCAGGTCACTCAACCACCCCAATGTAGAAGTACAAAATTCTAGACTGAACAACCAGATTTTTATATTCAATAACTCAATTTTCTATATCGATAACGTATTAACACGACAGTTGCGCGAGGCCTAAGGGTTCGATTCCCGAGGAATACACTACAAAACACTTCGTTGACTGTTCGCCAGTAAAGTCGGAAAACACGAGGGTTGGGAGTAACACTAGCAATCCTACCACCACCCTGTGGAGGAACAACACACCTACCGAGACTTCAAATGCCTCAAGTTCCATCTTCTACTTGGGACTCATGGAGTGAGTGAGAAATGAAGATTCTAATTCAATCAACAGGAGGGATTTGGAAGAGGTTATTTCATTCACTTATCTAGGGAGCATTGTCTCAACTACACGAGGAACGGACGAGCATGTCAAATCGAGCGAGAATCGGGAAGGCGAGAAACACATTCATCAACATGAAACCAATCTGGAAATCTTCGTCACTCAACTCAGCATCAACAACAAAATTCCGATTTTCAATACAAACGTCAATTCAGTCAGTTCTTCTATACGGATGGATCAGAAACTTGGCCACTGTGTCACAAAGAATATTTCCAACAGCCTGTTGCAGACCTTTAACAACAACTGTTTTCCCTCTATACTGAAGATCAGATGGCTGGAAAGAATCACCAACAAGAAACTATGGAAACAAACAAAACAAGAACCAATCACCCAACAAATATGCAGGAGAAAGTCGAGATGGATTGGACACTCACTGAGGAGACGGCTGGGTGACATCGCGCGTCAGGCCATCGCTCGAGTGGAACCCGAAAGGGAAGCGGCGAGTGGGACGTCAGTGCAAGGGTGACATGGAGGAGATCGTGTGAAGAGGAGTTGAAACAGTATGGACTAACATGAATGCAGGTGAAAAGTACAGCAGAAGACAGAAACAAGTGGAGACGTGCAGTTGAAGCCCTATGTTCCACTAGGAACCCAAGGGAACAATAATAATAATAAATAATTCAATTTGCCTGATTGTGTCTTTGTATCAGCATAGTCATCATTGTCAACCTTTATCTTTAAATAACTCAATGACTACTCTATAAGGCTTACAAAATGTCAGTCTCGTGTGATTTATTAGTCCTTCACTCGGGATTTCACTTAAACACACTAAATTTTCACATTCAAAACAATTTCCCGGGCAAATCAGACAAGATATAGAAGTGAAATCACTCTAAATGATGAAATCCATCACCACATCACATCAATTACACATCTTCATTCTCCTCGAACACTGCTCTCACAGTCGAATACATTCATCCATGCAAGTACTGGGTGATAGGGTAGGGTCAGGTAGGGAGATGCAGACTTCCGGGTTGAGGCCCGCCCTCGGGACTCTATGAATCAATGGCTGGAGACAATAGGTGACATGGCCCAAAATCGTTGTCAATGGCTTACGCAGATGTATTCAGTCTCTGTAATCTTTCATATTTCTTTCCACCATTACTCATTCTGTTTCACTCTTATACTTCTCAAAACTCTATTGATTCTCTTCACTCATCATCTTCTTGTCTACCTTTGTGTGCTATTTGGAACGTGGCAACTCGAACTGCTGCACTTCGGTGCCAAGTTCTATGTTGAATCCAGACAGACAGACAGACCCTATCACCAGCCAACTGTATGGACATCCAAGTGATTGGTTCTTCACTTCACAGTGGCAAAAAAACAACACCACAGCTACAGAAACCTCCAAAGCTTCTAACCATGCTATATTTTCACTCGGAATACAACAAAGGAGGCTCTCTCATCCACCGAATGGCTAAAACGGCGAGTTCGACGTGTCACCGAGTGTGAAGTGGAGGAGGAGGAGGTATCGTGCCACAAAGAAATGAAAAAACACATGCATACTTATCGAATCATATGAGGACGACTATAAAGATAACAACAGGATTGAAAATGGAGATTGTCCTGTTCATTCAAACCCTCCCCCCTCCCGATCCCCCCCTCCACTTCTTTTTCTCTACACTGAAATCAAATCAAATCAAAAACAATAATAAACACACACACACACACAGACACACTCAAATCATCAACTTGCTTACTTTCTCGTTATTTGTAACTTCCACTAATTTCTCCATTAAGGCATACACTTGATCAAATCTTGGTTTCAACTCTGTAGTTATTAAATGTTCATATTTTTGAAGCATTGATAACCTATCCACAGCACGATTGAATGCTTCAAATAATCGATGAATATCTGATTCAACTGCATACAATTGACTTTCTACATCTGATATTAATTTTGGTAATAGCTCACAATTGTCTATCAATGAACATTGTACACTTTCACAATCTTCATTGACACGTTCAAGTTTATTTTTATATGATTCTATCTAAAAATTAGAAATAAAAAATTGGAGCAAATATCAATCAGTTGACAACACGACGACTATTGACTGAACACCGACCCCTAGATTAGAAATAGGAACTGAAGTGGTAGAGCACGTTGACCGCTTCATTTATTTCGGAAGTACCATCAGCCAGCCCCAACGGGTTGATCTCTGACGAAATCTTAGTACGAATTCAGAGAGCTAGTTTCGCTTATGCCAGTTTACACTGTCTCTGGAGTAGACGTGATATCCGACTATCGACCAAAGGGCGGGTGTATTGCTCACCAGTTCGCTCCGTCCTCCCTTATGGCTGTGAGACCTGGCCATTGAGAGAGGAAGACATGAAAAGATTAGCTGTCTTCGATCATAGGTGTCTGCGTTCTATCTCCCGTGTGAAGTGGTATAATAAGGTGAGCAATATTTAGCTGAGGCATCGGTCGAGTGCTAGGTAAGAGGGAGGATGAATCAGTCGACGAGACTGTGAAATTACATCGACTGAGATGGTTAGGACATGTGTTACGTATGCCTAGTCATCGCCTTCCTCGACAATGGGCAATGTTAGCTGATATAGGGTCAGACTGGAAAAGAGCTAGCGGCGGTCAAACGAAAACATGGCACCAGTCAATGAAATCTACAACAGTTAGCTTAAACCACGTAGGAAGGTGTAGACTTCTTGACTGGTTGGGGTCCTCGAGGCGGTAAAAACCAATGGAGGCTGGGGACAATTCGTGACATGGCTCAAACTCGTTCTCAGTGGCTGGCGCAGATGCATCCACTCCTTGTGACTTATGATTTCCAATGAAACTGTTTTGTTCTTCGTTATTACTATTCCTCTGTTTACTGTTTCTAATATGCATTGCTCCTACCAGTGGCAGCCAAAACCCTAATTGACTCTGGGAACTAACATCATCCAGGATCATGACAGCGAGATTCGACTCAAAAGGAAGCAAGGAAGGTAACAATTATCCAATGCTATGCACACTGCTACAAACAATGCAGAACATGAAAAGAAAGAGGATTTTTACAGACAACTACAAACAGTAATGGATAACATCCCAAATGGTGACATCAAAATCCTTATGGGCGATATGAATGCAAGCCGGACTGGGAGCAGATAATACAGGAAGAGAACTCATCATGGGTCGACAGGCTCTCACTCGGAGAAATGAATGAGAACGGAGAATTATCCGCAGACTTCTGCTCTTTCAACGATCTGGTGATCGCAGGGAGCGTGTACAAACACAAGGAAACATGGATTTCACCTGACGGACATACTACAAACCAAATAGATTTCATATCAATCTCAAGGAAGTGGAAACGCAGCTAGCCTGCTGGATACAAAGTTGAGAAGGGGAGATGTGGGCTCAGACCATTATCTAGTTCAAGGAACCTTCAAGGTGAAGCTGAAATCCATGAAAACAAAAAGAGACAGACCACAATTCAAGTTCAACATTCAGGAACTGAAGGAGAAAGCTACAAGGGATGCCTTCACTACAGATCTGATCAGAGCAAAGTTGGAGACTCTACGTGTTATCACCGAGGGAACCTGTATGGAAGAACACTGGAACTCTCTGAAAGCGATATTCAAGGAAATGTGTACAACTGTTTTAGGAAGAAAGAAGAGACACGATTAGGAATGGCTGTCAACGGACGTCTACCTGGAAGTTAATCGAGGAGAGGAGGATGGTGGGAGAGATGACTGAATGCAAAGATGAACAACAGAAGGAGAAGCTGAATTTAATGTCCACTGTACTGAAGAGTGCTAGGGAAGACAAAAAACAATTCTACGACACACTGGGAACTGAAGATAACAGGCCGTAGGCAAAAGAGACATCAGGACACCATATCATATAACCACGCTGCTCGCTATCCGGGAAGAGATCAACCCAGATGATAAAAACAAATAAAAGATGCTCAAGGGAACCTGATCACCAGGGAGAAACAAATCAAACAATGGGCTGATCACTTTAAAGGACTCGTGAATCGACCACCACCGGCAACTCGCCCAGAAATACCACCAACAGCACACACGGAAAGGCCTGACGGTGGACACCACTCCTGCAACGAAAAAAGAAATCCTGAATGCGATCAAGCTACTGAAGTCGGGGAAGGCAGCAGGACCAGACGGAATTCCTCCTGAAGCACTGAAGACGGCAGGTGTTCTCACTCCATTACTGCAAAAAGTTAGGAAAGAAGGAAAGGTGCCAACTGATTGGAAGAAGTGCTACCTCGTCAAACTGCCAAAGAAAGGCGACTTAGGCTTCACTGTGCAAGAACTGGCGTGGAATAATGCTCTTGTCCACGCCAAGTAAAATACTAAGTCGCATCATCTTGCAGAGAATAAAGGATGCACTGGATTCAGGAAAAGCAAGTCATGTGCTGATCAAATTACACTCTACGCATCGTCATCGAACAAAGCATAGAATGGCAGTCAAATCTCTACCTCAACTTCCTCGACTTCGAAAAGGCCTTCCTTCACCAGACGGCGTTGACCAAGAAGTAGTTTGGAAACTACTACAACACTACGGTGTACTTTCAGTCTTCGTCAACCTCATTCTACAGCTATGTGACAATACCATGTGTCAAGTGATCCACAACGGAAAACTCAGAGAGACGTTCGAAGTACATACAGAAGTCAGACAAGGCTGCCTGTCATCACTAATGATATTCTTAATTGTGGTGGACTGACTTGATTATGTGGCAGACTGTTGGAGGCGAGGAGTCAGCAATACGCTGGACGACCGATAAGAAGACACTAGAAGATCTGGATTTCGCTTTCGGATGATATATGTCTGTCACACAGACTTGAAGACTTGCAAGCGAAAACCAACAAACTGGCTGAAGACACTGGCAGCGAAAACAGGACTGCAGGTGAACACAGAGAAGACGGAGGTGGTGAATATAACCAATGAACAGTAACAACAACAAACACCAATCACCATCAACGGGAGAGATTTCACAGAGGTTACTTCCTTCACTCATCTAAACAGGAAACATCGTTTCAACTACAGGCAGTCGGAACGTACGCATTTCAAAGTCGGAATCGGAAAGGAAAGACACGCCTTCATCAACCTGAAACCAGTTTGGAAATCTCCTGCACTCCGCCTCAGCAGCATAGGGAACAAGATTCGCATTTTCAACACCAATGTGAAATCAGTCCTTCTATACGGATCAGAAACTTGCACTGCGTGTCACGAAAAGGATTTCCAACAGCCTGTGGCATCATCAACAGCTGCCTTCGCACTACACTGAAGATCAAATGGCCGGCCAGAAAGAATAAGTAACAAGAAACTCTGGCTGGGCACAAACCAACCAAGAGCAGACTTCTCAACAAATATGTAGGAGAAAGTGGAGATAGATCGGGAACACATTGAGGAAACCGTAGAATGACGTCGAGCGCCAGGCCCTCGAGTGGAATCCCAATGAGAAGCAACGAGTGGGTCGTCCTGGGTTGACATGGAGGAGATTATAGGCAATCGTGGACCCAGATGAACCCATGCTATTCCATCCTGTCAAATGTACGATGATTCTGCACGACTCAGCTGCAACAACTCCTAGCTTAAAGACAGAGGGAAGTGAAGTGGTAGAGTGTGTCGAACACTTCACTTACGGCTGTCACACATGGTCGTTGAAATCACAAAACATTAAAATGCCAGCTGTCTTTCATCACAGGTGTCTGCTTCTTCCCCACCGTCTTAAGTGGTATAATATGGTAAGCAATATCGAGGTCATATGGAGTGGGTTGGGTAAAGAAAATTGAGGCAAACAAACAATCACGTTGTGAAGCTGGATCGATTGAAATAGCTACAGCATCTGTTACCCATGCGAATCCACGCCACCATCGACATACAATGTTAGCCGACAAACGATTAGGTTAGGAAGCAGTAACAGATGGTCAAACCAAAAGCTGACATCATTCAGTCAGTCAATGAAATCGCTCACACAGAGTTTAAACCATGTAGGAAGGCGTACACTCCCTGACCGGGGTCCTCACAACTCTAAGGAACAATCACCAATGGATGCAAACTATGGCAGATATGGCTACAAAATCTTTCTCAATGGCAGAGATGCATTCACTTCTTGGCATTTCCCCTATCCATGAAAAAACCTAATGTTTTTCCATGTTTCTATTCATTCTTCATCACATTTCTATTTATCATAGTACTTCTGAATCCATTCTTCCTCTCTTTCCTCCACACCTTCGTGTGCTACATGGAATGTGGAGACTCGAACTGCTGCACTTCTGCGCCAACTTCTATGTTAGGTCTCAGCCAACAGGGATAAATGGATGGATGGATGCAAGTACCAGGTATCTCTGCACGCTTGCATCACCTCAGAAACCATATACTTATTATGCAGCTTCGTCATTTTCTATTCATTCATACACTGTCGTTACAATCTTTCTCCTCCCTTCCTACCTTTCTTTCTTTCTTTCCGACTGTTACTCATCACTCAGACAGGATTAGAAACCATGCTTACCTCTTTCTAGTCTCACAGTCCCACAGTCACAAACTGCAACTTTCAATATCTCAAAACTATGTGCCAGATAGTACAAATATTTATTACATTCAAAGATCAGGCCATCAATTACTATTGTACCACTCAGTCACATAAGACTTAAACATAAATAACTGTTCGGTTAAATTCCACCTGAGATAATCAAAAGCAAATCGTCTCACGAATAGTCTTGACCTCTACAGTAGAACAAAATCCACTCTTCACAACTGCATCTCCCCGTGGATATTCATTCACGTGTGCTGTGCACTATTTCACTAACAAGGGATTTGTGACAACAAACAAAAACTTCACATATACACACTCATTCATATCATTTCGTAGTCTACGCCCACCTGGTCACTCATCTCAGTCTGAACAAAGTGAACTATCATTTTTACAAGCCATCTATCTAGAGAGTGTAGCACATCAAAACAACGCCTGGACAAAACAGCCTACAGCAATAACCTCAATACAGCATGAACAATAATGGAAAAACGAATCAAAGGTACGAGATTCATTCCACGTTATAACGTGAAAGGCTAATGTCGTCAACTTCAACTGAAATTTAGCAATTCCTTCCCAACATATCACTAGCAGTCCTTACATGAAAAGTGAAAAAAGTGTTTCCAAGTGCTATTGCTAATTACGTCATTGACAGGCGATGCACGCTTGAAATCAATCGTCTTCAAAATAATCAATATGTAGAAACATCGAGAGAGAGAGAGAGAGTGAGAGAGAGAAAGAGATAAGGAACACTTTAGTTACATCAGTTTGCAGAAACCATTCACAACACACGTAGAGTCAATTGATGTGATTAACTAACGAAATTCCCTGTCATCACCTATAGGCAGGATATGTCTCGACAAACTGTCCCCTTCCAATATATTTTCACTTCCAGTTCATCTTATAATCAAACCACACCGACTAATACCAAACTTCCATATGCGAGAAAACGAAACATACCTGGAGCTTTTTCTCTTCACACGAAGAAACCAACGATCGGTAGAGATCTTCTCTAGATGCAACCATAGCACTCTTCTCAGCATAGCATGACTTCAAGCGGCACAGTTCTGCCTCAAGACCTTTGATTCTCTCACGCCTCTCACACTCTGCTTCTTGCAGACGCTGTAATTCACACTCGCGAGTTCTATTCGATTCCAACAATTCCTTATACACATCTCTCCTTTCTCTGGCTGATTCAACCACCTTTGCAAAAGAAAATTAAATGAGTAGCTTCATTCAACACAAATTGTGTGTATACTCACCTCGTGAACTTCTTTAAAATCACAATCGAACCACGAGACGAAAACCGAGAGAAAGGGTACCCATTTACTCCGTTCTCTCTTCTCACCGAAATCATTCAAAGTGAAATGTTTCTCAAATCCTAAACTGCTGGCTGTTACCATCACCAATGTGATAAATTCGTGCTTCAAAGGATTCTTTAGCTTCGTATCGTAGAAGAGACAAAGAAGTTGCGACAGGATATCATCCATGTAATCACCTGTTCTCATTGTCATCAATCATAAATACACATCTGATTATTCACGATTTACCATTATCAAATAGCCTGACTGGATCAACAGGTTTGCCAATCACTAGAGACATGCATCTCACTATCTCCACAACAGCCATAATTTCTGAAGTAAATAACAAGAAACAAGGAAGAGAGTGGGCATGAAGTTAACAAATTAGAGAGTATGCAGAAAATATGCATCCTCACGAGGAGAATATCTGCATTTTGAAAATCTAATCGTTTTTAAACAATAATACAAACTTACACAGACGACACTTACTATTGCAACAGAAACATGCGACATTATAGACACCAAGAGATGTGCCACACAGTTGATAAGCCACATCTCCATTGCTTTATGGGACAATGAATCGACACAATTTACTGGGCACAAACAATCTAATTCCGCTATCGTGCATTTGTCTAAATATTCCAGTTGTGACATGCGTTAGGAGTTCGAGTTCCTACCTACCTATCAAGTTAATTAATTCTCTATTCTCAGCTCGCGACAACAGAACTCACCAGGAAATGAACTTCAATAGAAAAGCCACTTTTATACCTTTCTGTTCAATAATATGTTCACGGAACATGTACTAGACATAGACTAACTCTTTCGCCACATAGTAGGCAAAACCCACTACACTTTAATACATCACCAACAATATGCGGCTAGCGATACACTGCGAAACATCTAAGTCATTCGTCGCCAACACAAGAATTCCGTCCATCCTATACTACTTAATGCTACATACGTAAAATTTGTGAGGTCGTGAGGACTGCGACGACCACGAGTGTAGAAGTTCTCATTCTTTTGGCACAATAAAAAGTGAAATGATGGAGAGAGATGATTCGTAACTGAGGTAGAGGCTCAGAGTGTGGCTGTCTCCCCTGAGCAATGATTTCATTTTGAAGCCTATGCTCATATCAAAAGAATCTGAAGCTTACGATCTCTCTAGACATCTTCAGCATCAGCCTACTGAACTCAATGAGCAAAATTACAAGCATCCACACCGTAAGCCTAATCAATTTTATAAGCCTACCCAGATCCACATCCCTCAGCACACTTCATAGTTAACTTTAGTCTGATCACGCCTTCATATTATCAACTCACGAATGAACCCAAGTAGAAAGGCAACGCAGGTGTTTGGGGGGAATGGTGTTGAAATGTATAATTTGTCCCTCCCCAAAAGTAATCCGAAATACTGTAATTCAATATCTTAAGGGAGAAATGGTAGTATTATATCCAAAGCCAAGGCTTTACACAAGTTGACCTTCAAAAACCAGTTAGATACAGAGAACGCTATGAAATGTCATCGTAACTCAAATCACGCCTGCCCTTTTGGACTTGGAGAAGGTAGGTGCACTATTCCACTTATTCTCTAGGTACCTTCTCTTTAAATCCATCCTGTTACGTAGGGTTGTGTCTTTTTAGATTAGGGTTTAGGGTTAAAGTTGGAATTATGGTTACAATAAGAAGTAGGTTGCAGAATAGTGTCAGAAATATCGGTGAGTCTCAAAGTACCATGACCTACAGTCACTTGGATGAACGGGTATATGGTGCATGGTACGACTCTATAGATCATCTGCAGATGCGTTGTAACGGAAAGACATTCTTGAAACACGTGAGCTACAAATAAACAGTGTATTATCAAGTTTGCGATGTTTTTTTACTATGATTTCAAATCCTTGTGTGACTTCTTTGAGTCTGAATTCTGACTGGTTGTTCAGGGTGAATATGGTTTATGCAATAGTAGTTTAACTATGCCATGCTCTCTATTCACTTCATCTCATACAAATCCTTCAATCGCAGAAATACACGACAATCACGCGCACTAAACCTTAAACCACTTCAACTCAACCCAAACCAAACCTCATCTCACCTCACCTGACCTCACGAACAAGCTCAAATTTAAAAGTGTGCGGACAAACAAATTGTGGTTAACCGCGCAACCAACAAAAGACATTTCGGCAAAACGAATATTCACTTACACAGTGCAAATGGACTACTGTAGAAATCGCTCCTTGAAAATACGCAAAATTAGCTTTAATAAGAGTTGCAGGCAAGAGTAAACTCTAGACACCAAAATCAAATGACGCTGATATGAGCAATCAGATAGCTCAACATTACAAATGCATGCTAGTCATAATCCCCGTAGAAAATGTCTCCTAGATTTCGTTTTTGACTTCTCTGTGGAAAATGTGTTGATGGGGTGGAATAAAACATACATATGTGGAGCGATAATGACTCCACAGAAGTATTGCCGGGCTATTGATGGTTATACATTCAGATGCAACCACATCGTATAAGAAAGTTTCTATAAGTTGGTAAGTCGAACTTAATTGGTGATTCTTTTAGACACTTTCTTCTCGAAATCAAACCTCTGCCTTTGTAAGAATACGCCATATCAGCTTTAACAAGAGTTACATGTAGTTATGCGGATTATTTATAGGAACGTCTAATTCGACTTATGTGAGAGACAAAACACACTAATTTCGGAGCACCGAATTCAGAATAAATGCTTTCTCAAGGTATGCAGTCACAGACAGCCACTACGTGGAATTTAGTGATTGTAGATTGACTGATTATACAAAAGACTGATCTGATTGTGACACAGTTGGGTTAGTTACAGGATTTCACCATGAGCTGACATCGGTTAAAGAACCATTGGAAAACCACCCGGGATTACTGGACAGCTGTTTCGTCCTAGTTGGTAACTCTTTATCAGTATGCACCCACCTGGGTTCGAACTCAGGACCTTCTGGTTACAAGGTGAGAGAGCTCGTAGACCGTTAAGCTACTGGGACCTAATCTATCGGCCCATTAATTCCACGTCATAGTGCAACCTCTAGCTGATGTCTTCGACGAGAATCTGTCCTGACACCTAACCTGCTGCATCTTACTTATTCTCGACTACCCAATAGAACCCCAGGTAAATACCTACCTGAATAGGGCCAGTGGCTAGTTACTTGTTGCTGGAATCATCACACTGCAGGAGTATTAAGGCATTTTGCGTGACATTACATATTTTGAGTGTGCCTCGGTTACACCAAGAGGAATGGGATGTATAGTTGTGAGTCACTACTAGGACTAACTTGCCTCTTCATGGTCACTTTCGAGTGAATAGATGAACTTGTTGGAGCATGTAGTAATATTAATAATTTATATTTCGTATAAACAGATCTTGATGACGCCACTACTGAAGAAGGTGTGGAAAGAAGACAAAGTAACTGAGGATTGGAAGAAAGGATACTTATTCAAACTACCAAAGAAAGGAGACTTAAGTCAATGCAAGAACTGGCGCGAAATTATGCTCCTGTCCATCCCAAGCAAAATACTAAGCTGCATCATCCTGGAGAGAATCAAACATGCCCTGGATGAAAAACTTCGACCGGAACAGGCTGGATTCAGGAGAAACAAGTCATGTATTGATCAGATCGCCACATTACGGATCATCATTGAACAAAGCTTGGAGTGGCAGTCACCTCTCTATCTCAACTTCACCGACTTTGAAAAGGCCTTCGACAGACAGCTTCGATCGAGAGGTGCTTTAGCAACTACTTCGCTACTACGGTGTGCCACCGACAATTATACATCTCATCCAACAGCTGTACGACAATGCTGCATGCCAAGTAATCCACAACGGGAAACTTACGGAATCCTTCGAAGTGAGGACAGGAGTAAGACAAGCTAGCTGCCTATTATCTCCAATGATTTTCCTGGTTGCAGTAGACTGGATAATGCGACAAACAGCGGGCAATGAGGAAACGGGCATAAAATGGACTCACACAAAAAACTTGGAGGATCTGGACTTCGCCGATGATATATGTCTGATTTCCCACAAACTGGAAGATATGCAAGCGAAAAGCAACAAGTTGGCAAAAGAAGCATCCAGAGAAGATAGGACTTCAGGTGAACATGGAGAAAACAGAGTTAGGTGATGAAGATTCCTGGAAAACACGAACGACAGCAACAACAACAACAGACAACAATCAGCATAAATGGGAGGAACCTGAAAGAAACAACCTCTTTTACCTACCTGGGAAGCATCATTTCAAATGCAGGCGGAACTGACGAGGATATCAAAGCAAGAATCGGAAAAGCAAGACAAGCTTTCACTACTCTCTAGTCTGTGTGGAAGTCAACAGCACTCAGCATCAAAAATAAGATCCGGATTTTCAACTCCAATGTGAAGTCAGTCGGTGCTGCTATACGGATCAGAGACTTGACGCCGCGTCATAAAGAGCATCTCCAACAAACTACAGACCTTCATTAACAGTTGTCTTCGCTCAATATTCAAGATCAGGTGGCCAGAAAGGATCAACAACAGGGATCTCTGGGAGCGAACCAACCCACCAGGAGCCGATTGTGAAACAAATAGGCAGGAAGAAATGGAGATGGATTGGCCATACTCTGAGGAAACCATCAAGTGACATCACTAGACAAGCCATTGCTCGAGTGGAACCTGAAAGGGAAGCGGCGAGTTGGTCGTCAGTGTGAGGGTGACTTGGAGGAGGTCATGTGAAGAGGAGATGAGAACGTGTGGACAGACTTGGAGCCAGGTGAAGACTCTAGCAGAGAACCGAACGCAATGGAGACGCACGGCTGAAGTCCTATGTTCCTCTAGGAATTAGAGGAAACAATAATGATAACAATAATAAACGGGTCATTTGCTTAGTTGCGTAACACACTCGTTTCTCTGGTGTTTTTGACCAGAAAGTAGTAGACTTTTTTAATTCGCTTACCTTCAAACACTGAATCTGTGGATATAATCTTGTTGAATATTAATAACTGTAACTACCCGTTTGTCATATTGTAACTGTTAAACACTAATGTCAATAAGCCCATGCATTGTTGGATTGACATGCCAAAGTCGGCCCAAGTCAGTGAGTCTATAGTTTAAGTGTTATTTCTGGTACTTGTATGTAACAGTGACGATTTTTGTGACGGTTTTTGTTGGTGTTGTTGTAGCTGCTTTTCCGCTTGTGATTTATGTTTTTGCTTCGATTAATTTACTCCTTATTTTCTTGAATCTAAATGGAGTAACCAAAAATATCATTCTTCTGTAACTTACATCTCTATGTAACAACTCTATTCTCGGGTGCGAGTTCAGCAACACCACCGTGTAGGTAAAACTGCTACAGAATCTTCAGAACGACGAGTCTTCTTATGACGAAAGAGATAGTATGTGTGCAGACATGGAACATATGTGACTGGCAAAACTGCCCAGATTACAAACGAGATGAAGAGATATGCTATTGGAGTCCTGAGAATATGCGCAAGTAGATGGAATGGGAGTGGACAAACCAAATTTTCAACGGTAGGGTCAGTTACCTACTCCGGTCACTCAGAAGACACCCACGAACACACCGAGAGGGTGGTTATCATGATGTCACCAAAGGCAATGAAGGCTCTAGTACAATGGTAGACGATCTTGCCTAGAATAACCACCGTCAGACTCAACCCAAAAGGAAGAAGAGTGACAATTACACAACGCCATGCACCCACAAAAAGCAGACTTGGCAGTGAAAGGAGAGTTCTACTGGCAGCTACAGGTAACAATGGACAATACTCCAGTTGGTGGCAATAAAATACTACTGGGAGATATGAACGCCAAACTGGGACCAGAAAATACAGGAAAGAACTAATTATGGATCGAGAAGCACTTAGAGAGATGAATGAAAACGGAGAACTCTTCGCTGACTTCTGCGCCTTCGATGAACTAGTGATTGGTGGCAGTGAATACAGGCACAAGATAATTAACAAGGTCACGCGGGTGTCATCATACGGGCGAACCAAAAGCCAAGTTGACTTCATCTTAATGTTACTCAAGGAAGTGGAGACGCAGCTTACCGAACACAAAAGTAAGAAGAGGCGCAGACGTTGGCTCAAACCACTAACTCGTACAAGGAACACTCCCAGTCAAATTAAACACTTTCAAGGAAGGAGCTGCAGACACACCACAAGCAAACTTCAATACTCAAAAACTGAATAATCAGGACACAAAGGACGTCTCCACTGCAAACATAAGGAAAAAGGTGGAGATACAAATCAATACTAGCGAAAAGGCCAGCGTTGAAAAACACCGGAACAGCCTGAAAGCGGTGTGGAGTCAAACCTGCATGGAAGTTCTGGGCAGAAAGAAGAGGCAGAACAAACAGTGCCTCACTATGGACACTTGGAGACTAATAGAAGAGAGAGATGGTGAAACAAAAGATTATCCAGTGCATGGACGAGCAACAGTTACAAGAGTTGAATGCAAGCTACAAGACACTGAACAAAAGAGTAAAGAAGAGTGCCAGGGAAGATAAAGGAAAATATTATGAAGCTGTGGCAAGTGAAGCAGAGCATACTGCAGGCAAAGGAGACCTCGCAACGCCCTACCAAACAACTAGGTTCTTATCGGGGTAAAGTTCAACACAAATTAAGCCAGTGAAGAATGACAATGGAAAGTCACTCACCAAAGAAGTGGAGCGAAGGGGACACTGGGCTGAACACTTCAAAAGACTTCTAAATCGACCGCCACCCACAACGCGTCCAATAATACCAACGGCGGAGCCAGAACCAGCAGTAGATAACAACCCTCTAACGAAAGCAGAAACCCTTAAGGCCATAGAGGTGATAAAAACTCGGAAAGCAGTAGGGCTAGATGGAATCCCCGCAGAAGCATTGGAAATGGACCCAGAGACATCAGCAAACTTGACGACACCACTCCTGGAGAAGGTGTAGAAAGAGAGCAAGGTACCTGCGGATTGGAAGAAAAGCTACTTATTCAAACCGCCGAAGAAAAGATACTTTGATCAATGCAGGAACTGGCGTGGCATTACGCTCCTGTCTATACCGAGCAAAATTCTAAGCCGCTTCATCCTGGAGAGAATCAGAACACTCCATGGATGAAATGCTTCGACCGGAACAGGCTGGATC